AACCCAAGACCCGATTTTAAATACAAAAAATGGAGATTCATGGTTTGAAGTGGCTTCCCAAGCCCAAACCCACTTAGTAGGAAATATTATCGCCCTCCTACCCGGGCCATTCTTAGAAACTTTTCCAGATCCGTTCGGATTTAAAAATTGCGGAAAAATAAAACGGGCGATTTAATATCTGTTTTCACAGCAAAATAAAGGGGATGCAAAAGGTATAAACAAATCTAGGGGTTAAATAGTTACACTCAAAAAATTAAATACTCCAACCCGGGTCCACCATTCTCAGCCACCCTAATTGACCACATACTTTGAAACCGCTCGAGAACTTAGTAGCGGCGTCATTACCACGGGTCTTAGTAATCATTTCATCTTTACTGACCAGGAAAACATAGGGATGGATAGGCCTAACGGGACAATAAAAATGGGGTCACTAGAAATACGTAAAGAAACACTGGTAAATGGCACACAATTGGACGGACAGAGATAAAAGTTCAGGCGTAAACGATGCCGGGAAAAATTCAAAACAATGTCAAACCACCTTGATAATATGCACCAGTTAAAAGGTTAGGAAAAACGAAGAACTGAACCGGGATAATCTGAGATATTAGAAAATAAAATTAAATTAAAAAATTAAAGAAACGCGGAAGGCCCCTGCCTAAAAAAAAAATTTAAAGGGGAAAAGGAAAAGATATCCCAAAAATTAAATTAAAATCCCCAAAGTTGGAAAAATTAAAACTTTATAAAAGCCAAAAAAGGCACTAGCACAAAAATGAGGTATAAAACCATAAAAAAATTTGTTTTAAACCACTAAATTGTTGCATAACCGTAGAAAGCAACCAGCTCATTCAAATATTTCACAACTCTAATTTCAAAAATCTAAATTCCAATAAAGGGTCCCCAAACATTGTCGAAGGATAAAAATTTCGTTTCGGATTTTTAAAACCCCATTACCAAGGAAAACCCCAAAAAGGTCCCTGAGGATTCTAACTTTTTTTCCTTTTCCTAACTTTCCCCCAATGGACCACCCTGAAACACCCAGGTCCTATTTTTTCGGGGAAAGGAAAACATGTAAAAATTCAATTTTCCCAACCCCCAATCGAACCCGGGGGGTTTTAAGCGGAGTTTACCACCAGGGAGGGCCTTAAGTTATTCTGTTTATTAAAAAGAAAAAATTAAAAACCCAAAAGAGCCCGGTGAAAACCCCCGTTAAGTTCCTGGTGGTGCCTGGTAACCCTTTGCTCCATAATTCTTCAATCCCCAAAGTACCAGGGGTTTTCAAACCGGATCCATCTTAAAAAATGGGTCTGGTAAGCAACTTGGCCGTTAGAAACTATATATTCAAAATTCGGGGGGCGTGTTTTCTAGATTTAATCCTTAAAAAACAACATTCTCCATACTACAATCGGGCTTTAGAAGATCCACTCAACCGACACCTCCCTTATTAATCTATGGATTCCCTGAAAAACTAAAATGTCAAAGGGGAACCTCTAGGTATGGAAACCTTAGACCTGAAAAAGGGCCTTCGATAGTCAACCAAAATATAATGTAATAAACTTCAAGCTATCGGTAAGGTTCGTGACGGGTTTTTAAAGTCCTCCCAAAGCAACGGGAGACAAATAGTCAAAACAACAAAACAGAATCAGAACCCCCGCCCATAACATGTGGAGTTCCCCAAAGGGATATTTTGGTCCCTTATTTTTCTTTTGTTATGTCAATGATATGCCACAGTGTCAAGTGCAAAACTCCTACTGTATGCAGATGACAGTGCTCTTTGTGTCAGGGAAAGACCCCAAAGTATTTCTAATGTTTTTAACACTGGGAAATGGGCCTGCGCAAAAGTTAGTAACAACAAACATCATTACACCCAGGGAAAAACTGAAGCCATTTTCTTTTGGCACGAAACAAAAACGAGAAGGGAAATAATTTAATGTTCTGTAAGGGGAGCCCATCACTTTGGTTTCATCAGTAAAATATTTGGGAATCCCTTTGCCCAGCTGTCAGGAAAATTTTATAGGGAAAAAGGTTAGAAAGAAAGCGAATGCCCGACTGAGTTCCTGTTAGACAAGCCAGTGTCTACCACTGAGGCTGCAGGGCCCAAAAACTGCCCCTTTTACAATGCCATTGGATTACGCTTTCTCTTCTTGGTCTCGCCTTAAAAAAAACTGAAAAATAGACTGCAAATCACCCAGAACAAAATCGTAAATTTTTTCCTGGGCTGGGAACAAGAGAACATTAGGCCAGTGAATTCAGCAGTTGGATTGCTGTGTTTAAGACAGAGAAAACAACTGGGGTAAATCATGTTTATAAAATTTTTCTCACAAAAAATGTCCGAATATCTTTCTGTCAAAATTTTTTCAAGGTTTGGGGAAACCCAAAACAATCATAGACAAGGGGGGGGGAGAGAGCAAACTTTTTAGTAACCCACATCCTGGCCAGGCTTTAAACACCTTTATTTACGGGAATAAAGGAAAGGAACAGATGCCCGCACATGTCAAAGCCAGTCATAGCATGAACCATTTTTAAAAAGACTGCCAAAAGGGTCTATGAAAAGTAGCTAAGAAAGGGAGGGGAATGATTTTCTATTTTTTTTGCTAACATATGTAAATTTACCTTATTTCCCATAATGAACCCCGTATGGGATAGTCTTTAAAACCCTCGTATTGTGATAGTCTTTTAAAACCCTCGTGTAGTAGAAGTTTTTTTTATATGATAAAAAGAGTTATCTTCATTGTGAATATAAAAAATATTATAACCTTTATAAAAAATAAGGTAAAAGGCCCCCGGAAATAAGTCACTCTGCTGACTTTTTTGGGGTTTTCCCAATTTCTCACCTTGCTGCTATGTATGAAATTCATGTAAAATGATTTGGGTTTTACCTGAAAAAACTTACTTAAAAATCAATTACCCTTCTGGGTGCAACAACCCTCAACCTCAAACCCCTTTGGGTGCAACACCCCCCAAATTTCCCCCCCCGCGCAACACCCCTCAGCCTCCCCCCCTCCCCCTGGCTACAACACCCCTCGGCTTCAACCCCCCCCCCTGGCTGCAACATCTCTCAACCTCAACTCCCCTTGGCTGCAACACCCCTCAACCTCAACTCCCCTTGGCTGCAACACCCCTCAACTTCACCCTCCTGCTGCAACACCCCTCAGCCTCACCCCCTTCCCCTGGCTACAATACCCCTCGGCTGCAAAAATCTCTCAACCTCAACTCCCCTTGCTGCAACACCCCTAAACCTCAAACTCCCCTTGGCTGCAACACCCCTCAACTTCACCCTCCTGCTGCAACACCCCTCAGCCCCCACCCCTCCCCCTGGCTACAATACCCCTCGGCTGCAACATCTCTCAACCTCAACTTCACCCCCTGGCTGCAACACCCCTCAGCCTCACCCCCTTGTCTGCAACACCTCTCAACTTCACCTCCTGGCTGCAACACCCCTCAGCCTGTAACACCCCTCAACCTCACCCCCCTGGTTGCAACACCCTCAACTTCACCCCCCCTGGCTGTAACACCCCTCACTTCACCCCCCTGGCTGTAACACCCCTCAACTTCACCCCCCTGATTGCAACACCCCTCAACTTCCCCCCCCTGGCTGTAACACCCCTCAACTTCACCCCCTGGCTGTAACACCCCTCAACTTCACCCCCCTGGCTGCAAACCTCTAGCTAGAATCCCCCGGGCTCCCCATAATGCAAACTTCCTTCGTTTCGTTTTTTCTTCAAGGGTAACGCTAACGACATTGCCACGTTCACCATTCACTCGCGAAATTATTATTTTATTCATGGGGAAGCGCTAAATCCATAGTCATAAAAGGCCTGGAGAATGGTGGGTAAGGGAGGGAAGCTTCAACTTCCTTGAAACAAGAAGTCTTTACCGAGCATCAAGGAAACTTATTAGAGGCGAAGCACACTGTAAATCCAACAGACTAGCAGTGTGTCAATAACTGGTGATGCAGTATACATGTGGGAGGCTGGCTCCAGCCTGGCACCAGCTTGGCGCCACCAACCTTGCCTACTCCACCACTCCCACTATTGACGACCCGACTGTGGACCAGGCTTTTTTGTTGATTGCCTGGAACACTTGTTCTGCCAATATTTCTCATATATGCTGGTACCAGATTGAATAGTCTTGGACCACAGATGTTGACGATGTGTTCTTTTATTGTATCCTTCTTTGTCACGAGGTTTATCTTGCACTTTCCATATCTTACTTTCACCCTGGTACATTGTTATGGTACCTTGTAGACTTGGTACTAGGTCCTCAGGTATCTTCCATATTTATGTCTGTGTATATAATTTTGAACACTGCGTCTGCCACCGAGGTAGAGTGACAGACAAAGAATGAAAACATTTAATTTTTCTTTGTAATTTATACAGAAGGGTTACTAGCCCCTTGCTCCAGGCATTTTAGGCGCCTCTTACTACACGCATGGAAGATTTTTCTCTCATTTAACCATGGTAATGAAAAGAAACACTAACATATACCTTACCTTTGATAAGTTTCGAGAGTTCTTTTAGTCCCGGAGCCCGGTCATGGGCCATGCTTGTCTGGTACTAGTCTGGTCAACCAGGCTGATGCTGCCCTACATACCCATCTTAGCCTGGTTGATCTGGCACCTTGTGAAGATAATTGTCCAATTTCCTCTTGATCAAGAAATATTTAGGAATTACAATAAAACTCAGATAAGTGTGTATTTACATACACAACTTCAAGTGTAGTATGTGTTTGTAGATCAAAGACAAAGATACAGTATAATGCAACACTTTACTGAGATCTGTTGATTAAGCCCAGTGTGTAGATGAAGCAGTGTTGGTATACGTATGTACTTACATTCATGTATTACATGTGATATATACACATGTAATACCTGGACATGTACTTACTGAGTACAGTACACTTAACATCACAAGCACAGAGAATCACATTTGTCCTGAAGTCACATTAACATTTCATAATGGTTTTATATATTTCTTGAAATTAAGAGTTGGAAATGTTTGCAGATAAGTGGGTTTGCCGTGATCATCGTTGGTGCGGTGATTGAAGCCAACTACAGGACCTACCTTGACTTCATCTCCTCCACCTATGTGTCCGCCTCCTCCATCCTCATAGCCGTGGGTGTCCTCATCTTCGTGGTGGGCTTCTTCGGCTGCTGTGGCGCCGTCAAGGAGAACCATTGTATGGTAGTCACGGTAAGTAGTGTTTCGTTATGCTGTAGAAAAAAAAAGAGATAACCCGCATGTAGGAGAGACAAGCTTCTCTCTCTCCCCTTTGTGTATTGTTCCAGTCAAGGTATTGTGCCATTTTGTTCTTTACTGCAGTAAAGCAGAAGAGCCTGACCATGGGCCAGACTTGTATACTCAATACCAGTCACAGGTATACCCTTGATATATCACAGGTATACCCGGAAAATCATAGGATGCCTTGATATATCACAAACCTCAATATAACAGACTTCAAAAATATGGGACAAAATTGCCAAGTCGACTGATTTACAAAAAAAAAATGATATTCTTGGGGAAGCACTAAACCCAGAGGAGACATACAGTGCTTGGTGGATGAAAGGTAATCAGATAAAAATCCAAGGGGGCTTTCCCAAAACCTTAGTCAGAGCCCTTCACATACATCAAGGACCTTATTGTAGGCTCCTCTTTTGAACATTTCATCTATCAAAACTAAGGGGAAAAAACCCCAGCAGGGTCATACTCGTGTTCCATAAAGAGCAGGGCTGGGTTTCGTATGTTGTCCACCCCAATGCCTGATTTATGGTCTTGATTGTGGTCCTTAATTACAGACGCAAATGAAAAGTTTTAAAATTTTGAGTGTTTGGGGAAACTCAAATTAAAAATTAATGCAGATGCCTTATCTTTTTATAATTTACATATTCCCCTGGACTGGAAAATGATTAAATGGATAATGCCTGTGTTCCATTATTTGTAGTTATATAAATCAAGCATCGAACTTAAGCTAAAGAACCCTTTTTGGAGTCAGGAATCACGGAAGAACTAAAAGCCAATAAATGAAATCGAAAGAAACCCAAAGTATTTCTTTCCTATCCAAATCAAAATCGAGAAAAACGTCCAGTATTGGGCCCCATTTAAACAAGATGGGCCTACACAGATGACGAAAGGGAAAATGAGTGAGCTACCAAGTCCCAATATGACTCAGTTTTTAGCAAGCCCCTACCAGACTGAGAGTCGAAAATCAAAATGAATTTTTTATGAGAGAGCCACAAAATTTGATTAAAACAAGCCTATCCCATGTTATCCTGACGCCAAATGACTTCGACAGGCGATAAATGACATGCCCCTGCACTCTGCCCCAGGGGCCCGACTCATGGAACTCTGTGTTTATCAAGAACTGCAAGAAGCCCCATCACGAGCCTTTTTCCATCCTATGGAGAGGGGGCATGGACACGGGGGTCGTCCCACAGTTACTAAAAAAAACGGACATAGCCCCACTCCACAAGGGGGCAGAAAAACAACAGCAAAGAACTACAGCCCAAATGCACAAACATCCCAATCAAAAAAAACTTTGAAAGGGTCCAAGAAGAAAGATCACCACCCTCTAGAACCCATTTTACAAAACCCCAGGGCAACTGGGTTTGAACAGGTCGCCCGTCTGTCTCAACTATTGGACCCTACGACAAGGCCCTAAATCCCTAAAGAAAAAAAGAATGCGATGTAATTTTACAGACTTTGAAAAAGCCTTCGAAAGTGTGACCATGGCAAATAGGCACAAAATGGTGCTAAAGGAAAAAACGGGAAAAAAGTCGGTGATGGATCTATAATTTCCCAAACAAAAACACAGGAGTAGTCGTAAAACAGAGTAAAGCCCAAGGAGCTACGGTAAAAAAGCTCTGTTCCACAAGGCACAGTATGCTCCCATCTTGCCCTCTCCTTTATGACATAGGCAAGGTGTCAGACACCCGTGTTTTCCTTTGCGATGACCCCCAAATCTGCTGACGTGTCTTCCATTGCAGAACTGCAAAGCTCCAGCGCTAACCAAATCTTTCGTGGGCGCAGAAAACATATGAAGTTAACGATGAGAAATTTCAATTCCAGATAGGTAAACAGAGGAAATAATCTTATCAGAGTAAAAACAAATTCTGGCCACAAAATAGAGCGAAAAAACCAAAGTTTAAAGACCGGGGGGATCTGTCGGAGGATTCACCTTCAAGGACCATAAAATTTTCAAACGCATTGTAGAAAATGCAGGATGGAAATGGAACCTTCAAACTAGGGGGCCCAAACCCATGATGACACTCTTCAGGGGCATTGTTCTATCTAGGCTGGAATATTGCTGCCACTAACGCACCTTTAAGGCAGGGAAATTGCCCGACCTAGAAAATGTACAGAGAATTTCCGGCCAAAAATAACGAGATAAAACCCTCAAATTTTTGGAGCGCTTGAGGTTTCCCAAACCGTTTTCCTGGAACGCAGGAGGGAGAGTACTTTTATTATATAACCCGGAAAATTTGAGGGATAGTACGAAATTGCACCCCGAAAAAACACTCATCGAAAACAAAAGACTTGGCAACGATGCAATCCCCCAATGAAAAAACAGGGGGGTCATAGCACGTTAAGGCCATACAGTAAGTGTAGGGGCCCGAGATGTTCAACTCCTCCCGCACAATAAGGGGGAATTTCCAAAGGCCCCCGGCGTCTTCAAACGGGATGGAAAGCACCCAAAGTCAGTTCCCGGATCAGCGGGTGTGGCTGTCGTTGGTTTGCGTGCAGCCGCAGCAAAAGCCCGGTTGATCAGGGTTGATCCCCCAGGAGGCCCGGTCACAGACCGGGCCGCGGGGGCGTTGACCCGGAAACTCTCTCCAGGAAATCAGGTAAACTCCAGCTGGGCTGTGGTTCGAACATGGTTTGCATACAGCCAGGAATAACGCTGGTTGATTAGACCTGAACTACCTCAAGGCCTGGTTTGGGGCGTTGACCCTGGAACCCCAGGTATAGCATGGTTGCCACAACAGTGGGGTAACAGGATTTGAAAATATCATTATAAGCCTCTCTCATTAAGGCTTGAGTTCGTTCTAAGACCATCGCGTAAACAAATTCATCGCTAAGTGGGAGCATTATCATGGTAGCTGGTTGTATCACCTATCCTTTAATTGTTTTACTGCCACCCCTTTGCACCATTTATAACATATCTGGTATGTTTTTAAACTGTTTATACAGTAGGTAACTGTACGTATAAATTGTTACAAGATAAAGGAAACAGCACTAATATACATTATTTAGTATGCATACAGGTCAGAGAGCCCTCGTAAGTCCAAGGATCAGTAAAAAAGTACGTCGCTAAGTGAGAGGGGGCTGTAATGAAAAAAAAAACGCGAAACCCCCAAGAGTCAACTGATCAAAAAAAAAATTGATAGAATTCCCTAAAATGCTGTTTTTTTATGGCAGAATACTTTGGGTTTAAAAGTTACGTTAGGTTTTTAAAATTTTTTTACATTAAGTAGGGTAGTATTTGGAAACTTAACTCAAATTTAAATTATATAAGTTTTGTTAAATTTCATAAATTGCTGAATTCCTTTAAACATTGCTTTGCCATATAAGTATTGTAAACCTGCTTCTGTAACTATTGTATTTTCTTCGGATACTTGAACGAATGATGTATATACACAACAGATAATATAATTTTCTGGTAATCCCTGGGAAAGAGTCTGGAGAATCATCTTTGATAACAATTATGCTCTTGACTGAAAGTGATGCAACCTGTTCGAATTTTAGTTTTACCAGTGCACTTGTAAAGACTCCATTAGGATCTGTTGTCCTTTCAGTTGCTGACGTAATATTCTTCTCCTGCAAATATGTTGAGTCTTAGACTTTTATCCCTGCTTATGTGGGATCCTGCACGATACACAGTGGTTATGCATAACGTACAGTAATCGTTTAGCATGCTAACCACTGGAACGTCATATCAATGAATTGTACTCTCCCTCACTTGAACTATCGTTTAGATCCGCAAGCGTCAACAGAATGCTGGCATGTATCTGTAGGGCCGCTAAGTCTCTGGTTTATAAGGGGCCCTTCACTGGTTAAGTTCTTTGAGGGTGAGCATCCGCCTAGTATAAAAACGAAGAGATACCCCCCACAGGGGTAAAGGGTCAGGCTACCACCGCCTTTTCCAGATGGTAAATAAAAATGGTCAGGGTCAGAATCTCCCTTTCTCCTGCATTACACTTCCGGCAAATTTCAAGAACACTCGCATCTGCGGGTCATCTTGGAATCATTGTGGGAATTGTTATGTCTATGTAAAAATTTTATTTCAGATTTTAAACGTATTAGAATTGTTCAGCGTTAATTCAAAAATTTCTGCTAAAACTAAGATTAGTCGATGCCGAGGACTTATCCCATAAGAACGATGAGTCGAGCTCACTCCAAGAAGCGGTAAAAGTGGCCTAACATTTCTGTCCATCTGTTGACTATGGAGATGACGGTGTGCCAGTCACCGTGCTCCTTGGATTTACCTGGAGACAGTCTTCTGGGGCTAAGCTCCGGCCGGTCCCCAAACTTTGGTGGTCGCGAAACACTTTTTTTACCATGAACAAAAAACCACGCGGTGGTCAAATGATTAGGTGTTTCTTACCAGGTCTTTGGTAACACCAGTGGGGAGGCAAACATTCGGGCCCGCAATGACAAACGCTAAACCCCCTGTTTTCATTGGGGATTTAAATTCTGCCAAGTTTTTGCTTTCGTAGTGAGTGATTTTTGTGTGCAGTTCGGACTGTCCCGAGGATTTTCAGGGTTATATACCCATGTATCTCTCCCGCCTGCGTTCCAGGGAATACGGGTTTAGGAGGAACCTCAAGCGCTCCCAGTAATTGAGGTGTTTTATCTCCGTTATGCGTGCCGTGAAGGTTCTCTGTACATTTTTAGGCCCAGCAATTTCACCTGCCTTGAAAGGTTTGCTGTTAGTGTGCAGCAATATTCCAGCCTAGATTAAAACAAGTGACCTGAAGAGTGTCATCATGGGCTTGGCATCCCTAGTTTTGAAGGTTCTCATTATCCATCCTGTCATTTTTCTAGCAGATGCGATTGATACAACGTTATGGTCCTTGAAGGTGAGATCCTCCGACATGATCACTCCCAGGTCTTTGACGTTGGTGTTTCGCTCTATTTTGTGGCCAGAATTTGTTTTGTACTCTGATGATGATTTAATTTCCTCGTGTTTGCCATATCTGAGTAATTGAAATTTCTCATCGTTAAACAACATA